AGGCAGGGGAGGGAGCAGCACCCACGCTCTTCTTCCGGGACCCCTTTCATGTTCCTGCCAGGGCGAGCTGTTAACTAACTCCTCATGTGCTTTTCCTCCATGGAGATAACCAGGCCCTGTCTCCCGGGGACATTTTCCAAATGCGCCACATTCACCCCGCCTGCTGCACCTGTCTTGCTCCTGCAGCCCAGGCAAATGAGGCAGGGTTTGGGGTCCCAGAGAGGGAGAGAGCAGGACAAAGGGCCCTCTCCAGGAAGCAGGGTTCCCGGTGGGCAGCGAGGGCGGAGGCTGAATTAGTCCCTGGGTCACACAGGAAGTGAGCTGAAAAGCAGCCGGATCCTTGGAGAAGGCCGGATAGAGCCCCTTAAGGGGCCAGTTTGCCAAGGAAAGGTGCCACTTCTGGGACAGTGGGCCTACGACATCCAAAGGCAGGTGGAAGGGCTGGGGTGGCAGAGAGGACAGACTGGCTGCTCCTGACCCGTCCAAGTGTCTCAAGTTCAGAGCGTCTCCCGGGCCTATGCACATGCTGGTCCACGTGCCAGGAGTATGCTGTCTGGAACTTTACTTTCTCTACTTTGAGTCTCAGTGTCAAAAGTGATGCCTCCCCCCAGGAAGCCCGCCTTGATTTATAACTCCTTCCTCCACCTGAACTGCATCAGGTAACTCCTCTGAGTTCCCACAATGCACTTTGCCACCTCCATCAATTTTGTTCACTCATTTTTTAGCAATAATTAGTTTTTCCTTCCTTTCCTTTCCTTTTGGGTGTGTGTGTGTGTGGTCTTGCTTTGTAGTCCAAGCTGGCCCTAAACTTACTGTGTGCCCTAGGCTGGCCTCGAACTTGTGACAATCTTCCTGCCTCAGCTTTTTAAGTGCAGGGATCACAGGTGTGTACCACCACACCTGGCAAACTAGACATTTTGTTGGGAATTATGACTTGTTCTCCTCAACATACTATTAAGTAAAAAAGAGCATATTCTGGGCCAGCATGGTAGTGCACACCTATAATCCCAGCATTAAAGAGGCTGAGACAGGAGGATTGTCACAAGTTCAAGGTCAGTCTGGGCTACACAGTGAGTTCCAGGCCAGCCTTGACTACATAGTGAGACCCTTTCTCAAACAAAACAAAACAAAACCAAAAAAAGAGCATGTTTTGGTAGAATGTGGTGTACACAGCAGCCTCAACCCTGGGAGGCTGAGGCAGGAGGATCACAAGTTCAAGCTGAACCTGGGCAATTTAAGGATTCAGTGAGACTCTGTCTCAAAATAAAAAATTGAAAAAGGGATGCAGATGTAGCTCAGTGCAAAGGCCCTGGATTCAACCCTCAGTACTGGAAAAAGAAAAAAAGAGTATATTTCACTAGGCACATATACATTGCCAACTTACATACCAAGTGCTTTAGCATGAGGCTTAAAATAGACCCAGTGACAGCAGTAACTGCTAACAAGGGTTTGGAGCAATTGGAATGCCGACTTGACCCTCATGGGAATGCAAAGTATTACAGCCATATTAGGGGAGAAGCTTGGCTGGGCGGGTTTCAGTGGGTTTTGTTTGTTTGTTTGTTTTTAATACTGGGAATTGAACCAAGTGGCTCCCACTGAACTACATGCCAGCCCTTTTTGGTGTTTATATTTTGAGACTGGGTCTTGCTAAGTCTTTATCTTGCCCAGGCTGGGCTCCAACTTTCAACCCTCCTGCCTCAGCCTTTCAGAGTGCTGGGACTAGCAATTTTTTAATAATGTTCAAATCACAGTCACCACAGGCGCAGCCATTCACTCTCAAGTATTTACCTAAAGAACCAAGAATGTTTCCCCCGCACGAGCCTGTGTGGGAAGATTCATCGCAGCTTATCACATCATCTCTGAAGCCTGGGCACATCTGAGAGCACAGTGTCCTTGGGGCCAGTGTCAGAGGAGTGGCTGAGCACAGTGCGGTCCATCCTCACCATGAATATCACTTAATAATAAAGAGGAGCAGTGCAGGACACACACGGGAATGAGGGTGAGTCTCAGACAGTCCTTGCGGCTGCTTTTAAGGGATGTTCCAGAAAAGGTGAGCTGCACAGATGCGGGTGAGATCACAGCTGCTAGAGGTTGGGGTGGGGGAAGGCAGAGGATACAAAAGACACAGGGGAGCCTTCGGGGAGGGGATGCACTTCCTACCTTTGGTGGTCATATGTGACTATATATTGGTTGACACTTATAGAGTTGTGTGCTTAAAATGTAAATGTCATTGTATGCAAATTGTATCTCAATATACCTGTTTTTTTTTTTTTTTTTTTTTTTTGGTTTTTCTCCGGTACCGGGAACCGAACTCACGACCTTGCGCATGCCAGGCAGGCGCTTTTGCCACTGAGCTAAATCCCCAGCCCCAATATACCTGGTTTTAAAAAAAAATTTTTTTGGAGACTCACTATGTAGTCCAGGCTGCCCTTGAACTCACTATGTATAGCCAAGGCTGTGCTCAAACTTGTGGCAATCCTCCTGCCTCAGCCTCCTGAGTGCTGGAATTACAGGCATGTGCACTTAACCCTGCTAAAAAGAATTCTTTTGGGGCAGACATCTTCTCTGACTCCTGATTAGAGACTGTCCATAAGCCAGCTTAATAAAGCTTTGGTTGTTCCTTAAAAAAAAAAAAAGTTGGGTTTTTGTTTTTTTGGTTTTTTGTTTTTGTACCAGGAATTGAACTTGGGACCTTGTGCTTTCCAGGCAGGTGCTGTACCACTGAACTATATCCCTAGCCCAAAGATTCTTAAAAGATTTTTAAAAAATATGGGAATGGTGGCACATCCCTGTAAACCCAGCTACTTAGGAGCCTGAGGCAGGGGTGAGATTTAGCAATACCCTATGCTAAAATGAGAATAGCTGGGCGTGGTACACACACCTGTAATCCCAGCTCTTGGGAGGTTGAGACAGGAAGAGCATCATAAATTCAAGGCCAGCCTGGGCTACAGAGCAACAGCCTGTCTCAAAAAAATTTCTGGGACAACTGGTGAAAATAAAATATGGTGGCACATGCCTGTAATCCCAGCACTTGGGAAGCTGAAGCAGGAGGATCACTCCAAGTTCAAGGCCAGCCTAAGCTACAAAGTGGGCTCAAGGCCAGCCTGAACTTCATAGTGAGACCCTGTCTCAAAAAGGAAAAAAAGAAAAAGAAAACATGAACTATGGATTACAGTAGTCAGTGGTATTGTGACCGTTTTAATATCTTGATTGGGGTCGCTGTGTTGTGGTTACACAAGAACTTGTGCTTGATGTTAGGGATCTAGGCTGACATATTTAGGAAAAAAAGGACAAAAAGCCGGGCGTGGTGGCGCAAGCCTGTAATCCCAGCACTTGGGAGGCTGAGGCAGGAGGATTCTTGCGAGTTTGAGGCCAGCCTGGGCTACAAAGGAGCTCCAGGCCAGCCTGAACTGCATAGTGAGACCCTGTCTCAAAAAGACCAAAAAAAAAAAGACAATGTGTCTGTGGTTTGCACGGCTGGGAGAGAGATAGAGGCAGAGGTCTACGTAGAAAGGAAGTGGGGAAGATGTTGACCATGGTGGAATGGATGTAGGTAAAAATGCTATGGGAATTTATTCACTTGGATTATATGTGCAGCTTTCCTGTGGGTTTGATCTTTTCTCAATATAAAAAAGGTGCTACCCCTTTCTTAGTTTTTATTTTGAGTCTCATTAAGTCACTAAGTTTCCCAGGCTGGGATCAAACATGGGATTCTCCTGCCTCAACCTTCCAGAGTGCTGGGAGGGCCCATGGTTTTGGCTGGACTTTTTTCTCAGCCTGCCTCTGGAGTCAGCCCTCTGGAGTCATTTATAGTAAATGCAGCCTTCCATTACTATAACAAATGCCTGAGGCAATCAGCTTATAAAGGAGATAGGTTTGGTTTGGTTCACAACTATGAAGACTCCTGTTCAGGGTCTGTTCACCACATTGCTTTGGGACTAGGTCACCTGTCACAAGGCCACCGGTCATGACAAGGAGCATGAGGCAAACCAAAATCACTCACTCATGGCCAAGAAGCAGACAGGAGGGAAGGACCTGGGGTCCCCTAATCCCCTTGGTTCAGTATTCAGTGACCTAAGAACCTCCCACCAGGCCCCACCTCGAAAAGGTCTCACCACCTGGGAATAGCAGCTCTCTTGGAGCCTTGGGGGCATGTTTATCTGGATCACTGCACCTTGGTTTTGGATACCATTGTTGATACACGAGTGACTTCCTGGAAGCTCCAGGTTCCAGGGATGAAATGCAGGATTCATTTACAGGCTCCATTTCCATGAAATGAGCAACTTCCTTCAGGGGACTTTCAGATGCAGACAGCACAAGACGGGACAGAAATCTTTCTATCATCGAATACACCAACACTTCGTTCTAGTTTTTTTGTTTGGATTTTTTGGCTGTTGTTTTGTTATTGTTTAGCACTAGAGACTGAACCCGGGGCCTTCACACTGAGCTACATTTCCAGCCATTTTTATTTTTTATTTGGGGCAGGGTGCTGGCTAAATTTCTAAATTACCCAGGCTGGGCTTTTTTTTTTTTTTTTTTTTTTTTTTTTTTGAGACAGGATCTCTCTGTGTAGTTCACGGTTGTCTTGAACTCCCTGTGTAGCCCAGGCTGGCCTCAAACTCACAGCAATCCTTCTGCCTCAGCCCACCGAGTGCATTACACGTGTGCACCTGGTTTCCATCCGGATTTTATTTTTTTTTTAATTTTATTTTAAAGAGAAAAAAATTCAAAACCAGATAATAGGAGGGTAACAATAGTTAATACATTGCGTACTGTTATCTTTAAATTACTTACTCAGAGTACAAGATATCGGCATTTAATTGTCCAAACAATATTAGCACACATCTTTCTTTTCAATGAACTAAGAGAAATTAGTTGCTGGGCCCGTGCCAGACTTTTATTCTGAAGCCGAGGCCACAACCTATGAGGTAATCCTTGGAGCTTCATTCGAGGAGGAATTTCATTGGTCGGTTGCCTAAGCCCCACCCAGGGTTCCCGGCGCCCCGCCTTCTCAGAAGCCTATAAAAGCACAGGTCGTCCGGGCTTCTGCAGCCAATAGACACCTGCATCTACCGACAAGACTGGGAACAGGTGATGTGCTCAGGGGAGGGCCGAAGCAGCTGCGCGGGGGAGGGGTGGCTTGGGGCTCCCGGAACCCGGGATGGGGCGGGTTTGCAGGTTAACACCTGTACAACTTCCCAGAAAGCGACACAGGCGGCGAATTTTGAAGGTCTCGAAGCCAACACCACCCGGACTGGCTACCTGGAGGCAAATGACGGGAACAGGCCATGGGTGTGGGGAGCAGGTAGGAATCCTAGTTTTAATATCTGTGCTTGTGTATGTGTGTGCGCGCGTGGTGCCTGCCGGGTTTGCCATTCTGGAGCTACCGGGATCGCAGGGAGAGAAATGAGGGGATTCCAAAGAGTCGGGAGAACAGAGACCGAGGGTGTGAAAGAAGACAGGGAGGAAAAGGAGGAAAAAGCGAGGCAAGTTTTCTGGTGCACCGAGGCTGAGGACAGCTCTCCGCCCACCGCGGGAGGAAACGGCCCAGCGATTCAGCACCGAGACTCTGGACAGCGCCTCTCGGGGTCCGCGCGGGGAGCCGCGGTCCCTTTCAGCACCGGGGCTGCGGACAGCTCCCGGGCCCTGCGGGTTCCATCCCACCCGGACTGTGGACAGCGCCCTCGCGAAGGCGCAGCCTTTCCCCCACGACTTTGTGCTGAGAAGATGCGCTGAGCTGCCTGATGTTTCTGGAGATTCGCTCCCTCGTTAAGGGGTTTAGAAAATGAATTACTTTCCAGAGAAGGAGATGATATCGTGAAGTGTGTGATTCCTAACAGGTAAAAAGTCCGGTTGGGGAAACGGGTGGACGTTACTGTGCCCTTTCCGGGCTTCAGTGCCGAGCACCGTACCAACAGTTGCACGCACATTACACCACGCTGTCCCCAACTCTGTCACAGGGGTTTTACTACACCGGATGACAGCTGGAGGAGCTGAGGCCCCCGAGAGGGCAGGAGAGCTCCCGAGGGCCTTCAGCCCAACAGGAGCTTGAAACTCAACCTCACATCCGTCCAACTCCACGTCCCACATTTCCGATGTGCCTGGGTGGGAGCTGGCTCCGTGGGGGTCTCACCCTGCCTCTCTCCAGGGGCCCCAGGAACGGGAAACAGGAAGCAGTACAGAGGCAGGAAGTCCATACGTCCGCCTCGACTCAGGTGAGGGGAAGAGCCGGACCAGGGTCTCAGACGTGGGGCTGGAGCCAAGGAAGACGACTGGCGTGGTTGTGGTCCAGCGCTGTGTGGAAGACTAGTGATTTTGTTGTTCTGATGTAGTACGACAACAAGTCACAGCCGGCCTCATAGCACGGGCTCCCGGCGTCCGTCACCAGCGGTGGACAAGCCGACGGGGGAGGGGTGGACATGGGGGATTCGGGGTGCAATCGCCCCGCCACAGCTGGCTGACTCCATGGGGCTCGGGCATGGGACTGGCTGGAAGTGAACAAGGGTGTGCACCCACACCTTTATGCCACACGTCAGATCTGACTCAGGCTGGGCTACAGCTCAGTATCAGGCACTTGCCTAAGTGTGCGGGAGCCCACTACCCCACACACACATCCAGCTTTAAACCCAAGACCCTTAACTGCCCCAGAACCATCCAGGGGAATCAGTGGGGAAAATGGCATTTGAAACCCCCTCCCCAGCCCAGGTGCTGAAGACACTTCAATAAAAGTTCCAGAAATGACTTTTGTGTTCCCCTCATCCATTGGCCCCACAGCCCCCCACAGGACAAGTGTGAACTTGTCCATCCGCGCCCTCTGTGACATCCGAATCAAGTCACCAACACCACGTGGGATTCCTCGCAGCTTCCTGGCCTCTGCCTTGCTGTCATCTCGGCTAGGAAGGCACTGTCCCCTCCCACTCTGAGCTCCACCGGGCTGACTGCCTTCTTGCCTGAGCATCTTTCTGTCCGAGGCAGCTCTTCACCCCCAGAGCTGAGTGTGGTATTTACATTCCCACACACCTGGGCTATCAGGGCTCTGGTGTGAGTTCCCAGCATGCACATGTGTCTGGTCCCCGTGGCTCTGTGAGCTCCCTGCTCTGTCTCCAGTGCCCAGTCTGACGCTTGGCACCAGGAGGGGTTCAATATCTGCTTGTTGAATCAATAAAGACATCAAAGACTAAGCCAGTACACCAGTCAATACACCAACACACCTCACACATACAGACCCTCTTTGCGTCTCCCCAGAGAGACACCATAGGGTGATGGTGGTGCCAGGTGTTTATTGAGGGGCTATAATTAAATTTATGGACACTTGAGGGCCAGCCAGCTAGCTAATAGCCCTGTGGGAGAGCCAGGCTCGTTTCATCAGCAATTACGAGGCATTGATTCTTCATTAGCTCGGGCAAGCCCCATCTCCCTCCTCAGCTGCCGACAAATGAAATCGTGCTCTCTCTTGGGAATAGTTCCTCAGTGGAGAAAACAGGTTCAGAGGACACTGAAATGCCCGAGGCGCCTGATGGGATGCAGTGGGCAGAGGGAGTTCGGGGTCCGGGTGAAGTGTGACTGCGGGAGAGGTTCCGATATATTTAGAATCACCTTCCAAGAACAGGAAAAACAAAGGGACCCAGATACTGGTTTTTGAGGCCTCTGGTGTAAGAAAAAAAGTCAACCCTGGGTGTCCACGGTCACCTCAAATCAGCCACTTTGAATAGAGCACCCCGTCACCCAACCTGCAGCTCTCCCCACCTCCCATGTGTCCCTAAATGTGGTGGCTCATGCACCCTCAACCCGGCCTGCCCAAGGCAAGTCGTTCTGCCCCCACCGTCCGCTCCTCTCCAGCCTGCTGTCAGCCTGTAGGCCTGGTCTCATGGTCTCCACCCCAGCCCACATGCGCACACACACACACACACACACCATTTCCAAGGTTGTATGGTCATGTGTGTGTGTGTCTGTATTTTACTGGGAATTGAACCCAGGGCTTTCGCACAGAGCGCCATCCCCAGCCATTCTTTATTTGTTGAGACAGGGCCTCAAAGTCACTAAGTTGCCTTGGCTGGGCTCAAATTTGCAACCTTCCTGCCTCAGCCTCCTTGAGTGCCACGACAGACCTGTGCCACTATATCCAGCTCAGTCCTGTCTTTTACGCTCCATGTCTAGTTCAGTGGTGGCAGCCAGTAAATATTCACATAGGATGTCACAGAGATCAGACCAGCCACCCTGCCACCCTGTGCTGGCCACCTCTAAGAATCCACTCACAGTTGTTCAGGCCTGTGCTCCCTGCAAAGGTGAATGAGACGCGATCCTTGCACCCTGGGCTCTGCTGCTCCCGGTGTGAGCGCTGACAGACAGCTAATTACACCTTGTTTCCTGCTGGGGTCCTGTTGGAAAGACAGAGATCTGTCCTCCTGCACAGCCCAGAGCCTGACTTGGATCCATGGCAGATCCCAAGTGTCAAGGGCACAGCTGCCAACCACACTGCCCTCACCTCAGACACAGTCATGCACTTCGGGCTCCTCAGCTGTCCACATTCCGACCAGCTGTCCCCAAACTCAGGGCTCCCATCGCTTCCTCAGGTTGAATAATTAAGTAGCAATGATTCACAGAACTTAGGATATTTCTGTACTCCAAACAACAGTTTTGTCAGGCTGGTCTCGAACTTTGTAAGTTCAAGACCAGCCTGGGCTACAAAGTGAGCTCAAGGCCAGCCTGAACTACATAGTGAGATCCTGTCTCAAAAAGACAAAAAAAAAAAAAAAAAGCTTCATACTTGGGCACAGTGAGGCACACAGCACTGAGGGAGGCTGAAGCAGAAAGATCTCAAGTTCAAGTCCCACCTGAGTGATTTAGTGAGATCCTGCATCAAAGTGAAATGAAATAAAATAAAATACAATGAGCTAGAGATGTAGCTCAGTGGTAGAGTAGCCTGGGTTTGAACACCAGTAACAAGAGAGAGACAAAAACAGACAGAGAGAGAGACAGAGAGACAGAGACAGAGAGAGGAGTCATGGCTTCATTATATAAGGGCACAAATCAGATGCAGCCAAACGAAGGGACACAAAAGATAAAGACGGAAGGGTGGCAAATGCAGACCCTGCGTCCTCCCTGGTGGGAGTTGAGGTTTGTGTATCAGCGAGTTTACCGCTACTAGAACAGTGCCTGAGGCTGGGTGACTTGTAAAGGAAAGAGTTTTGAGGACCGCAGTTCTGGGGATCCGGGCTGAAGGCCTACGCCTGGTGATGGCCTCCTTGGCAGAGGCCTCAGGCGGCACAGCATGTCACAGGGAAGGACAGGGCAGGCACATGCATGCCCCTGTGCCCTCTAACCTCTGTCCCTCTTCTGACAAAGCCCCCTGAATGCAGGCACGGGGCCACACCCTAATGACCTGTCTGAGTGCACACTTCACGGCTGGCTGGGTGGCACCGAGAGGGCAGGCACAGACGCTCCCTCCAGATCCCTGTCCTCCATTTCTTCCCACCCACCTGGCTGGGGCACGCGGTTCAGGCAGTGTCACTGAGCCCTCTGAAGGCCAGACGTGCTCAGCTGAAAATCGGGGGTGCTGCTGCAGGGGGCGGGGCAGCTAGCTGCCGGGGGCAAGTCCTGTCTCTGCTACGGATAGCTAAACAGCCAGAAATATGTCCTCCCTCCTTTCGACGCTGGTATCCACACTAGAACTCTCAGAAGGCCTGATCTCCTGGCTCTCTCATTCAGAAGAAAGATATGAGGTCACGAAGAAGGAAAAGAAATGGAGACAAGGTGGATAGGACAGCACAGCAGAGACATCATTGCCAGGGTTTGGACCTGAACATTCTACCAAGTGCCATGTGTTAAAAATGTCTCTAGCTCAGCCCTATTGGGAGGTAGTGGGACCTTTAAGAGGCGGAGCATAGTGGGAGGCATTTAGGTCACTGGGGGTGTGGCCTAAGGGGCACGGCTGTTGAGGTCTGTGTTGGTGCCAACTCACACTTCTGCAATGAGGCCCAAGGCCTGGGGCAACACACCAGGGACTGCAGCATCCCAAACTGTGGGCCAGTCCTGCCAGTGTCCTGCACCCCAGGCAGCACAGTCTCACAAGGTGATTTCTAGTCCATGCTGCAGTCTGAGTAGGCAGGTGAAGGGAGGTGAGGGAGGTGAACAAGGGCTGCCTTGGCCTGGCTTCCCAGTCTATAAAAGGACAGCTCTTTCCAGGTGCAGTGGCGCATGCCTGACATTCCACCTACTCAGGAGGCTGAGGCAGCGTGATTGCAAGTTTGAAGCCAGCCTGGGGAACTCAGCAGGACCCTATCTCAAAATAAAATTTTAATAAAAACATGAAGGAGTGTAGCTCAGTGATGAGTGCTTGCCTCACATGACCTGAGGCCCTGGCTTTCAATCCCAGCCCTGAAAAAAAAAGAAAGATAGTAAAAGTGACACGTAGGATGTGTTCATGGGTTAACCAGACCACGGAAAGAAGGAGAAAGAAACTACCCATCTTTTATGGCCAGAATGGGACAGGAGAGACAAATACCAATTTTTTTCCCATGCTTGGGACCAAATACCTATTTGTTTTTTTTGTTATTGTTTTTGTTGTTTGTCTTTTTGAGATAGGGTCTCGCTATGCAGTTCAGGCTGGCCTTGAGCTCACTTTGTAGCCCAGGCTGGTCTCGAATTCACAATGATTCTCCTGCTTCAGCCTCCCTAGTGCTGGGATTACAGTGTGCGCCACCACGCCCAGCCCAAATACCTATTTGTTGAATGAATATTAAGAATTGAGAGCTAGAGTATATGCTTTGATCCAGGAACTTACGGAGGCTGAGGCAGGAGGATCACAAATTCAATTCCTCCCTGGGGCAACTGAGCAAGACCCTCAGTCAAAATAAAAAATAAAATGGAAAGAAATAAATTAAATTAAATTAAACAGGCTGGGGATGTTATAAACCTCGGAGCTAACACCTCTCAGGGGCCTGCTCCATGCCAGATTCTGGGTTTTGTGCTGTTTTGTGTGTGTTCTCTTTTTGTACTGTGCCAAAATAGTGGTCTCCACCTATCCAAGGTTCGGTTCTCCCAGGTCTTGGTTCCCCACGTCCCCCACAGCATGGAAACATCCGGTGAGAAGTGCTGGAAATAACCGGTTCACGAGCTGTGAGCTGGGCAGCATCCTGGGGCGTGCGGCGGAAGCTCAGGCCGATCGTGTCCTGCCCGGGACGTGGCTCCTCCCCGTGTTCGGCGTCTGCACACTCTCCCCGCCCCCTGCCTGTTCGCCACTTGGCAGCCACCGCGGTCAGCAAAGAGCCTTCAAGTAGCCAATGTTTTGTTTTTGTTTTGCTTCTTGCAGTGCTGGGATGGAAGGCAGGGCCTTTGCACTGGTCTCTATCCCCAATCCCTTTGTTATTTTTAATTTTGAGACAGGGTCTTGCTAAATCCCTAAGCTGCCCAGGCTGGGCTCCAATTTTCAATCCTCCTGCCTCAGCCTAAGAGCTGGGAGGACAGGCTTGTACCATCCGGGCAAGTCACCCTTATTTTACCTAACAGTGGTTTCAAAGCACACGAGCAGCCGTGCCGAGGGCTCAGCTGTGCCAAAGGGAAGCCACACAGTGAGTGCTTTTCCAGGTCAAAAGGTGGCAGCTCCCGCTGCAAGGAGGAAAGCAAAAACGCCTGTGCTGCAGTTACTGCGCGCAAATCTTCAGTCAGGGAGGCTGTGAGGAAGGAAAAAGTGATTCTGCTCTCCTGTGTAGCATCCCACGGGGAACGGCTCAGCGAAGACCGGCAAGTGCTTAGTCCGGGTGAAAAGGCAGGAAGTCGCGGGGCTCCGCGCTGTCTGTGGCTTCGGGTGTCCATTAGGGATGGTGGAGGATGTCGCCTGGACAGGGACGGGGACGCTGTACCGCACTACAGTTTGCTCGATTTTGGTTTTGATTTGTGGTGCTGGGCTTTGAATCTAGAAGCTCAGGCGGGCTGGGGATTTAGCTCACCGGCAAAGTGCCTGCCTGGCAAGCGCAAGGTCGTGAGTTCGGTTCCCGGTACCGGAGAAAAACAAAACAAACAAACAAACAAACTAGAAGCTCAGGCATATAAGCTAAGTGCTCACCACTGAGCTGCATCCCCAGCCCTTTTTAGTATACTTTCGGATAGGGTCCCACTACATTGCCCAAGCTGGGTTTCAACTTGCAGTCCTCCTTCCTCAGCCTCCCAGAGTGCT